AAAGGGACAGGAGCCTTTGCAGGAAGCAACTTTCTTCATTCGGGTCGCTTTAAAGTCTGAAGCTCCGTGTTGACTTGTGCTCCATATGGCCTTGCGTACAGCTGATCGGCAATTGAGCCATTTAGGGAGATAAAGGTGGGTGCTGATCAGCCTTATCCCGAAGGACTGTGGCAGACTTCTGTTGGACTCTTCACAAACTTGTTTGGGACTCATTACGGGCTGTGAACACATAGAATTCACAGCCACTGAAATACAAACCGAAAGGATCTTGGGAACAGCGTGCGCTTGTTACTGTCCGAGGAAGCCTTGGTCGGAACAGCTGCAGCACACGGCTGGCTCATATTTAAATGATTTTCCACTAGGACTCCCAAGTTCCCTCTCACAGTGACTACAACACTATTGAGCCAGGTACCACCTATGCCCGCGATGGCGAACCTATTCTGCCAGCACGCAAGCTGTTGCCCGGAACACAGCCGCCGCGCATGCCTCCCACCAGCCCCAGCCGATCGTTGGGTATCTGCCGCTCTGTTTGCAGGCTAAATTTACATTGCCGCGGGGCGGGGCGGGCGCATGTTCCTTGAGGGGCTGCCCCAAAAGAAGAGGAAGGGGTCAATCTATTCTCCAAAGCCCCTGAGGGCAGGACAAGAAGCAACGGATGAAAACACCTCAAGGAGAGAGAAGCAACCTGGAACCAAGGAGGGAAAAAAAAGGGACAGATTTTCACACTTAACGGCCATTGTAGCATTCCTGTGGTCACATGATCAAGAGCCACTTAGCAAGTGACTCCTATGATGGTTGCAGCGTCCCTGGGCCACGTGGGGATCCATTTTGCAACCTTCTGGCAAGCAGGGTCAATGGGGGAAGGCCAGATTCACTTTACAACCGCGTTGCTCACTTAAGGGATTCATTGAACAACCATGACCCCCAAAATGGTCCTACAGTCAGGCACAACTTACTGAATGGCTGCTTTGCTTAGCAACCAAGATTCTGGTCCCGATTGCGGTCGTAAGTTGAGGACTGCCTGTCGTTAGGCTTGGAGAAGACCTTTCTCCTCCATCGAGTCTAAGTGCCATTCTTGCAAACTTTGCACGCTTGCTTTTAAATTGCCTTGGAAATTGGCACGCAGTTATGGCCGAGGTCTCCAAACTTGGCAACTTGAAGACTTGTGGATTTCCAACTCCCAGAATTTTCCTGGCTGGAGAATTCTGGGAGTTGAAGTCCACAAGTCTTAAAAGTTGCCAAGTTCGGGGACTCCTGAGTTATATGGTATCCGCAGTTGCTGTTTTCTCAGGGAATTGGGAAAGGTGGCCCCGTTTCCCCCCGGGGAGGGGATTCACAAATCCCAGCCACCAGTTCTCTGCCTGGTTGCTGGGTGGGCGTGGCCATGGTGGGCGTGGCCTACCAGAACTTCCAGGAGGGGCCGTTTTTCATCTTCCCCAGAGTCCGGAGGCTTCCCTCGGGCCTCTGGGAGGACCAAAACGGCCTCCCCCAAGCGCCGGAGGCTCTCCGAAAGCCGGAAACAGGCCTGTTTCTGCACTTCGGAAACTTCCAGAAGGCCCATTTTCTGCCCTCCCGGAGCCTCCCTCCAGACTGCGCTTACCTGCATCCCAAATAGGCTGCATGGAGACGCCTGGGAGGGGAGGGGCAGGGTGGGCGGGGCCAGCCAGTCGGCTCAACTACCAATTCGGCGAACCAGATACAAATTGAACATCTGGTTCATCCAAACCGGTCCAAACCCGCTGAATCTCACCCCTGCTCGTTCCTACATTTGATCATTCACTTGCATAAACTAAACAGTGCAACGGGAGCTATGGAATTATTCCTTTGTATTCCTGCCCTGGCAAGGCTGCTCTTAATCCGTGCATCCTGTAAAGAAACTGTTAGGAATAACATAGGTTACCTAACGTAGTTTGGGTAAAATAATATATATAGACTATGATAGTGAGTTTAAGTGTGTGTCACTTTAACTGCAAAGCATGTAATTTTGGGTGCGGCTGTAAATCGCCATAAGAGGGAGCAAGAGAACTTGATTGATTGCTGGTTTACTGGATTGCTTGCTGACGATGATGGTTTGATAACTGCGTGTTCTTTGCTGTTGCTGAAGGAAGAAAAGAGGTTTGACTTCTTCATATCTCTACTACGAAGAGATATATTACTAGACTGATATTTGTAAGTTTAATGACCTCTTTTTTGACACTGGACTTTGCAACTGATTAATCCCCGGACGGACTGAACTAGTGTATGATATATGGACTGTTTGACTATGCTAAAAACTATTACTGGAATAAACTATTTAACTAGCACAGTGTATCTGTTTTACTGAGTGTAAGCTACAAAAACGTTTGTCTCACATATTTGCCTGCCTGCCTGACTGCCGTGCACATTCTGCTAGGGTGTATATCCCTAACAGAAACACATTTTGGCGTTAGCGATTCCAGTCTTGGAGAATTGTAGGTCCTGTTTGTATAACTGGATACAGGAACCGTGGTCAGACGTGACTCATCCCAAAGAAGGTTTATTTCTAAGGCAGAGTTCCCCAACTTTTCCGGGTTGGCGGCCCAGAGTGGGGGGGGAGGGGTAAGAGGAGTTGGTTGTGTGGGAGGGGCAGGCACGTGTGCGAGCACCCGTTGCACGAGTGCGGCCAAGAGTGCTCACGACGCTTGTGCGAATGGGACTGTGCGCACACCAGTTGCCCCATTGGTGCGGCCCAGTTGTGACTAGGTCGCAGACAGGTAGTCGCCTGCAGCCCAAAGGTTGGGACTCCTGTTTGAAGACCAAATTCTTTGCTCAGTTCTGGGCACCCTATTTTAACAGGAATTTATCTTATCTATCGTGCCCCTGTTGGAATCTGACTCCAAGGGAGAGATGGAACAGCGGACAGGGAATGGGAGTGTGGCTCTGGTGGCTGTGGAAGAAACTGGGGAAGGGCACAGGCCGGCTGGGCATTCAGAGGAAGACCCAGGCCCACCCCCTCTTCATCCTAGGGCATGCAGGGAGGAACGGAGAAGGGAGCAACGTGAGTGGCATGGCCTATGGGGGGAGGAAGGGGCCCTGATCCCCTTCATGGGCTGCAGCTGGGAGGGCTGGTTAAAAGGACAAACTGCATGGCAAAAGTGCTGGAGGAAGCAAAGTGTGCATTCTTTTTTTTTTTTTGGAAAACAATTTTATTGGTTTTTAAAGACAAAAACAAACAAAACATAAAAACATCCAGCTTTCTTTCATAAATATACAAGCAGTGTGTCGGTTGGTTTACCAATTTTTTGTGCATCCATTTCGTAGTCTCAATTACAGTTACATTGCATAATAACTCATATTATCAATCAAAGATTAAGTACCCTAGTATCACTATTAACAATCATTTGACTATAATTTTATTCATTCATACTTTGCGAGATAACTATAGTTTACTTAATTTATTTTATAACAATTCATATAATCCTACCAAATCTATCCTAAAAACATTTTATAAATATGATATCAAAAAAAGAAAGCGTGCATTCTTGTCAGAGCTTATCTGTGTTTTGGCTTCCTCCCAACTGTGGTTGCTGCGTTATCTGGTAGAAGTCTGCAATTAATCACCCTTGCCTGCCGTAGTAATTCCTTCAGTGTGGTGTGTTGGGTTTTTTATTTCTAATTATCTTTACTTTGGGTTCGGACTGCATTTGCTCCCTCCGTAAACTGTTTTCTTTAAGAGTTTGATCTCCTGCTGAGGAGAATTGGACATTGGGGCCAAGTTGGAGGCATTAAAGGGACTTTTTTCCCCCCATTTTTGTGACTTGGTTATTTTTGTGTCATGCCCCGGGACATCACATTGTCTGTCTGTCTCAACATCTCTTTTATATGATGGCGACCGTAACTGGATGCAGTATTCCAAGTGTGGTCAGAAGCCAGCTGAGAAGGTCATCAGAGTTTCCGGTCCCAATTATGGTTGTGAAGCAAGGACTTACCTGCATAGTGTCCATTTCCCGTTTCAGCTCTCAGGCAGATACAGAACCGGTGTGATTCTTGTGTGACACCATTAGCCATGATGCTGGGCTGGTTCCTGCTTGAATTTCGGCCGGTCTTTCATTTCCCCCCTCCAATTGTTATTGACTTTTTCTCTCTCTCTTCTTTCCAGATTGACGACATCATTGATGGGGCCGTGAAGCCTCCCCCCAACAAGTACCCTATATTCTTTTTCGGAACCCACGAGACGTAAGTTTGCCAACTTTGGGAGGTTCTGTTGGGTGCGTCGGCGGCCTAAGCCGTGTGGGATATACCGTCCCTTTCTCTCCAAACCCTTCCGTTTCTTCTTTGCTCTTGTGCATATCCCGCAGGGCGTTTTTGGGCCCCAAGGACCTCTTCCCTTATGAGAAGTACAAGGACAAATACGGGAAGCCCAACAAACGGAAAGGCTTCAATGAAGGATTGTGGGAAATCCAGAACAACCCTCACGCCAGCTACAGTGCGCCTCCGGTGAGTCGGACGTGATGCGTTTTGAGGCCCCTCCGTTTTGACCTCAGGTGGCCTGTTTTTGCAGCAGGGTCTGTATAGCAAAGGGCTGGACTGTGGGACATTCTGGCTGGGGAATTCTGGGAGTTGAAGTCCAAACAGAATTCTGGGAGTTGAAGGGAACTTCCTAGCCAAGGAACTCTGGGAGTTGAAGTCCAAACATTCTTCCTTGAAGGGAACTTCCTAGCCAGGGAATTCTGGGAGTTGAAGGGAACTTCCTAGCCAGGGAACTCTGGGAATTGAAGTCCAAACATCCCAGGTACAGAATTCTGGGAGTTGAAGGGAA